GGCTACTGAGATAGAGCACAGCGATAGGATTCATCCAGCATTTGTGCTTTACGGCGTGGCAGATCAGTGGGTAGGATAAAAAGACAGAGGGGCAGAGGAGTTAATGTATGGCCAAATGCATTTTGAAATATTGGACCAGCTCAAGTGGATAAAAAATAAACTAAAGAAGGGTGATGATAATATTCATAAATGATGGTGATGATGGTAACAGGATTATTGTTAAAAACAAACTTCATCACAATTCAGTTTTATGAACATTACATGTAAATTGGTTAGGACATTAATATTCATCCTCTAATGGTCCTGCAGTTTTCTACAGGTCACATTATTGGTCATGTCAGCACACACAGAGCATAAACATAATGTCTTCAGTCTTGCAAATTTGAGGAAAATGAAAAATTTTTGTTATACGAAGATAATCACAAAATTGACTATCGGCTTTTAAGTTAAATTAGTGAAAATTGAATTTTTCTAAATTTCTTTGTTGACTTATCCCTGCAAACATAATGAAATAGTAATCAATAGCTCTAATAAAGAAACTACCTAATAGTGTTAACTGTTACAGTTACCAGTCACTTATTCCCCACCATTCATACGGTAGCATCAGTCTTCATGTTGCTACTACATATAAAAATTAGACTTCACATACTTCTAGGTAGGAGACAGTACCACTTCACAGAAATGTACTATCGTGATTCTCATTTATTGCAGCAGTAATTATTGCCAGCATTGCAAATGTTATTTCTAGAGTCATCCATGTGCTTTTTCCTGTTTGTAGAAAGGAACCATAGAGGCAAAATAGGATATATTCTGAGTTGCATAAGGATATAGCTAGAGCCCATGTACCCAGTTCCTCATATTCTTTCTCCGGGTCAGTTGCTTGACATTTGCTTGATATGCCCTTTGTATGATGTGACCTCACATACTTCCAGATACTCTCTCATACATTCTTTAGAAATTAGCCTGGTCATGAAAGAATGTGGACACACACATTCATTTTTGACCTTTGCATATATTTGTCATGGAAGATTTTAAGAACACATCTCCAATTCAAGGTTATTATTTTGCATATACATATAACCATTTGACAAGTCACACTGATACATAGATTGGGCATGGAACTGCTTTTGCAGTAAGTTAATATTCAGATTGACTGAGCAAGATGCCCTAATTGAACTTATTTTATAACCTAGTTTGGTAAAGCATCATTGTTAATGCATTTAAATAAATTTGTTTACTGGGGCATCAACCTCAGTTTGCATCATTTTTATTAGAAATAGTCATACAGTTACTGATGTTGCACCCTAAGGGAAATTTTAGTATACATTAAAACTAGTAACTGGCTTGTTTTTTTGTTTTGTTTTGTTTTGTTTTCCCCCCCTAAGATGCCTTTGCGCTTTGAAAGTTCCATGTCAGTGAATTGTTTTCCCTTATTTATCATGATTTATGTATAATAACTTTCTTTTGTTTCTTTTTTTAAAATAATATATTTTATTGATTTTGTACAGAGAGGAAGGGAGAGATAGAGAGTTAGAAACATAGATGAGAGAGAGTCATCCATCAGCTACCTCTTGCACACCCCCTACTGGGGATATGCCCGCAACCAAGGTACATGCCCTTGACCGGAATCGAACCCGGGACCCTTCAGTCCTCAAGCCGACACTCTATCCATTGAGCCAAACTGGTTTTGGCACCTTCTTTTGTTTCTAGCATATTCTAAAAGCTAAGTTTAAATGTTGAAATAATATCTTCAATTTTTAAAAGTAATGTATAATAATACTTTATTAATTCGTTAAATATTTTTGAGATACTTTTATTCCATCTTTATTTTTATTTTACTTTTTAATTTTTATTTTTATATATATTTTATTGATTTTTTACAGAGAGGAAGGGAGAGTTAGAGAAATAGAGAGTTAGAAACTTCGATGAGAGATCAGCTGCCTCTTGCACATCCCCCACCAAGGATGTGCCTACAACCAAGGTACATGCCCTTGACCAGAATTGAACCTGGGACCTTTCAGTCCGCAGGCCGACGCTCTATCCACTGAGCCAAACCAGTTTTGGCTCCATTTTTATTTTTAGAATTTAGACATTTCTAGTGAAATAATTGATTATATTAATTGCTGAAAGCTATATTATGTCTGTTGCAATATCCCATATTTGTATTACATAGTAATAAATGAGAACAATACAGATTTAGAAAAAATGTTATATATAACTAGAAAGTGCTGCATATATCCTATATAATAAAAGCCTCATATGCTAAGTGTCTTATCATTTGTTCAACCAATCAAAGTATACTATGCTAATGATATGCTAAGGTCACTCAACTGCTCGCTATGTTGAGCACTGATCACCAGGGGGCAGACAGTTGACCAGTCGACCAGTTGCTATGACATTCACTGACCACCAGGGAGCAGATACTCTGACTAGTAGGTTAGCTTGCTGCTGGGGTCTGGCTGACTGAGTGAGATGGGCCAGACATGTCCTGGAGCCCTACTGCGGTCCCTCCCCAGCTGGCCAACCTCCCGTGTTCCTCCCTGGCCCAATCATGCAATGGTGGGATCCCTTGGCCTGGCCTGTGACCTCTTGCAACCCCAGACCTGAGGCTGCATGGCACCGGGGTAAGAAACTGAGGCTGTGCCCTCGCCCCCCCTCCCGCCCACCTAGTGGGGTTTGAGGGGAGTGGGGCTGGCTGGGTCTGGATCTCACCCAATGGGGGTGGGGCTGGCCGGGTCTGGGTCTCATGTGATTTCGAAATGCACATGGGTGGGCAGGGACTTGACTCTGGGTCCTGCTACAGCATGCCCCAAACTCTGATTAGAGGAAGGTTCTCATATATATTTTATTAATTTTCTTTCATCTCTGACACTTCTACTATAGAGAAAGGGCAAATAGCAATATTAAAATATTTCCTCTAATAAATTCCCTTTTAATGAGCACATATTTTGTGCACCAAGCCACTAGTTATAGTATAATTTAATGTATAGTATAGTATAATTTACACTATACATATAAAAATTAATGGAAGGAAATATACTAGTACATTTTTTTCTTATAATGTGGCACATTTTTAAAAATCAGAAGGATGAAAGTTTATTTAAAAAATACATGAACTGTTAGATTTTAAAATGAATGTGTTTTAACCTAGTAGTAACAGAAATGCACTATGAGTATGTGATACTTTGTTATAAAGTTCTAAGGTAAACGTATCTATCAATTGCATCAATAATATCATGCTTCAGAGACACCCTTATTCACTTCTTGGGAGCTGTCCTAAATTTAGATTTAGGGCATAACTGTACATCTGTTGTTGAATTTCTTATTCTAATTTAATAACAGATGAATCTTCATAATATCATTTTTTTCTTTAAAATTACTTCACTGTGTCTGTGGATTCAGAGTATTTATGTTTGTGGGTAAAGATAACAGAACCCATTTTTCTTTTGCATGAAAATTTTATCTTTACTTAATTATCTAACTCTGGTACCCTGAAAACCTGATAAAGACTTGGAATGTCAAGTATGTTACTAGACAACATTGCTTATAATAAAAATATTCTGGATGGCCCTGGCCTGGTAGCTCAGTTGATTAGAGTATTGTCCTGATACTTCAAGGTTGTGGGTTCAATCCCCTGTCAGGGTACATATAAGAATCAATCAATGAATTAATGAATAAATGGAACAACAAATTGATGTTTCTTTCTCTCCCTCCTTTTCTCTCTCTCTCTCTCTCTCAAATCAGTGATTAAAATTTTTAAAATTTTCTGAATCTGGATTGGGAAAACTACCAATACTTTATGGAACACTTAGTTTTGGGCATCCTTGAGTTCATTGACTTCTATAACAGGCAGTACCCTGTGGGGTATGAAGTTTTTCTTCTACATCTGCCCCAGATATATCTCATCTTCTTACACTTGAACTCTTGGACTGCTTCAGGGACTCAGCCGAAGAGAATTGCCCAGTCCTGCTGTTTTGGCAAACTAGTCCTCACCCTATGTATGTCCTTCTGAGTAGATCAGTGTCATTGGAACTTAGAATGACTTTGTATGTCTGAATGATTTGTTAATCCTAAGAAGATCTCTAGAGTGTTTTGTAATGGTATAATTCTACAGCTTGTTTTTTATAAGTATATATATATGTATATATATATTTTTTTATAGATTTCAGAGAGAGAGAGAAACATCAGTGATGAGAATCAATGATAGGCTGCCTCTTGCATGCCCCACACTGGGGATGGAGCCTACAATTCAGACATATGCCCTGACCAGTATGGCTAGGCTCTACAGTTAGTTTTTAATTTTCTTTTCAAAGTAAGAAAAATAGTATTTTAACTTTATATTAGTGAGTTTCTCCAGTTTTATCAATGCTTTGGGAAGAATATTAGCCAAAACACATAGCTTTTAGTCCTAGTTTTTCAATAATGGATGATGTTACCTTGGACAAGTCACTTAGTCTCTCTGAAACAGTTTTCTTTTTTTTTTTTTCTTTTCTTTTAAAAAATATATATATTTTATTGTTTTTGTACAGAGAGGAAGGGAGAGAGATAGAGAGCTAGAAACATTGATGAGAGAGAGTCATCGATCAGCTGCCTCTTGCACACCCCCCACTGGTATGCCCGCAACCAAGGTACATGCCCTTGACCGGAATCGAACCCGGGTCCCTTCAGTCCCCAAACCGATGCTCTATCCATTGAGCCAAACCGGTTTTGGCTGAAACACAGGTTTCTTAAAGTGTTAAATAATGTGACCAATATCTTATTTCCTTTCCAACACTAATTCCCATAGTTCTCTGAAGTTCTTATTTTAAGTTAATTTTGAATCTCTTATTTTTCAGAACCTTCTAGATTTTTTTTTGTTCCTAGCAGATGATCAGAATGAAGATGAACTGCCTATGCATTAGACTTTAAGGAATTTAGATGAAAAATACTGGAGGAACTTTGGGAAGGGAAAACCAATTAGAATGAAAGCTTGAAGATTTCATCTCAACTCCCTTTTACAGGTTGTGAACTGGCTTGAGGGACCAGGATCAGAACAACTTAGAGCCCAATGGGGTATTGGAGATTCCATTCGGGCTTCGCAGGCCCTACAACAGAAGCACGAAGAGATTGAGAGCCAGCACAGTGTGAGTGACTTTTCTTCCTCTGCATGTTACAAGCTATTCTTAATGTGTTAGTAGCATGTCTGTTGCTAAGTGATAAGTTGCTATAAACTTTGGTATAGGAGCATAAACATACAGTATGTTTACTGTTTAGAGGCCATGAGGGGCTTAGGGGCATGGACCCCCTCCTTTCCCTCTCTTATTATTGAAAATCCGCATGTAACTTTAACCCCACCAAAATTCAGTAAAATTTCTGTTGACTGGAAACCTTACCAATTTATATATGTATTAGTATTGTATTAAAATAAAGTAAGCTAGAGAAAAAATATTTATTCAAAAAGTCATAAGAGAAAATACACTTACAGTATTTATTGAAAAAAAAATCCACGTATAAGTGGACCCATGCAATTCAAACTCTGTGTCGTTGAAGGGCCAAATACTTTCTACTTTTGAATAGATTGGAAATTTTTCATTCTAAAAGGCAAAAGAGAATTGAACCATTTTCACCAATAGATGGCACTGCATTTCACCTTGAGAATAGGTTGATGTGGGATGAATATATTAGCTTCTGATGAGATAGTCTAATATTTTATTAAAAGCTTTCTTTTCTCTTTGTAAATAAAAGTGAACACTTTAAAATATGTATTGGAATTGTTCAGGTCTTATGAAAGTCAAATTTCTAGTATATTGATTTGTTAATAGGAGTAGAATATGGAGAAACTTAACATACCATTTTTGTATTAAAACACTTTGTCAAGTATTAAGTTTTAGATTCTTCATAAAAGCACAATTCAAAAATAAAGCTAAAAATAAATTTATTAGCTGAGAATTGATTTATATTTTTTAAAAGATCATTGGCTGTTGTATGGAGAACAGGGAGTAGAGACAAAAAATGAAATAGGAAGGCAGGAGGCTAACAGAATGAAGGCCGTATTAGTAATGAGAAATTGTCAGATTCATGGATTAAGCCAGCAAGACTTGCTCTTGGAAGAAGAATCATATGTTTGGCTTTAGCAACTATAATATTAAGTGGGGAAGACTGGGAGAGAAGCAGGTTGCGAGGCTGGAAACCAATATCTTTGGGGACAAGTTAAGTTTTGGATATCCAAAAGTCACCTGAATGAAGATCGTTAGTAGATGATTGGGTATCAGTGTGTTCAGTTCAGGAGTGGAGTCAGGCTTTGGGGAGTTGTAAGCCTATCGGTATTATTTATAGGCATGTGACTATATATATAATCAAACTCGAGTATTGATTTAGAAGCAAAAAGCCGTTGGACACTTATGTCACTCCTAAATTTAAAGGGCAAGAGAGGAAGGAGAGCCTGTGGAGGAGGCCAAAAGGAGCTGTGTGTCTCAGGAAATGAGAAAAAGGCATTTCAAAGAGGAGGAATTGGTGTCTGTCAAATGCAGCTTCTGTCCAGTAAGATAGACTGATAATTTGACAAAAGTGGGAAGTACAAAATTCTGATCAGAATAGATTAAAAGGTGACCAGGAAATGATAAAATAAGTATAGAGAACTTCTTTCAGGGGGATTTGTGAATTTTTTAAATGGAGCTTTCTATATAACAAAATGCACATATTTTGAATGTATGTTTTGTTTTTTAATATAGGATGTTATTTGTATGTTAATGGAAATAATGTAATTGAAAAAGAAGATGATGATGGGAAAGAGAGAGGATAATTAATTCCAAGAGCAAAGCCTTGTAAAGGTAACAGAGGCTAGCATATAGCACACAGTGAAGTGGCCGGTCTTAGGAGCAGAGACAGTTCATTCGGTATTACAGTTGGAAGGGAAAGCATAAGATTACAGGGAAGGTCATAGATTTGTTGATGAGATGAGAGAGTTCTCATCTGATTGCTGCCTCATGAATTAAGAAGTTAGATTTTTGGTTTAGAGTAAAGAGATGCAAAGGAAGTTGGAGATTTAAGGAGTTAAAAAAGTCATGAGAATATGAAAGTGAATTGACTAGAGAAATGTAATAGAATTGCCAAAGGCCCGTTTAGTAATAACTTTTAAAAGCTACCTATCCATATAATTTTTATTTAGCCATATTCAGCTGCTCTCCTGGAGATATAGTAGTCAAGGACAGTAGGTCTGAGGTTTGACAGGTGAATCTGAGGGGAAAAAGGAGAGCTCTCTGGTCAGAGAGAGAAGTGAGGACACAAGGCTCTTGAGTGCTGGGCAGTAAAACATACTGAGGTGAACAGATTTGTAGAACCTGTAGGTTTGTAGACGTGAGACGTGAGCATTCTAAAGGATGTGAATTGGAGAGTCATTTTCTGGTAGTCAGAGAATGGGATTCTATAAATTGAGATTCAGGGAGCTGTTATATAATGACAGGATTTTTCTGTCCATTTGAATAGGTAGCTGAGGCCAGATGAGGACAGAATATTGGAAATGAAGGAGGGAGTCAAGAAACGGGGAGTTCAGTGTTGGGTAAATGTCTAAGTGGTGGAAGTCAGTGAGAAAGCTGACGCTGAGAGGAAGGCATTGACCTTTACTAAACTCCCTGGATGAGGGCATGCAACAGAAAGGTTGGAAAGATGTAATCTGACAGCATGCACTTCAAAGGAGATGTGGTTTTTGAGAGAAGAGGGAGAAGAAATGGTCTGGAAATAGTAATGGGGCCTGAGGCAGCCATCCCTCCACTCCATCTTTAGGATTGTGGTATGTCAACTGTGAAAACAAAAACAGCAATTAGTTAGGAGGGCTGCAGGGTTAACTGCTTTTTCTGAGGGTGGACAAGTGTCATGTAAAGCAAGAAAGGGAAGGAAACAGAGGCCAGGATGAGGCTATAGGAGATTTTGTTCTTGTCAGGAGTGAGTTCCAGGGATTGCAGTGGAAGGATTTGGGGGCGGGGGCTTTTCTTCTTAATTTAAATGATTTTGCGTAAGGAAATTCTTTTGTTTATTACTTAGTATATTTGGAGAAATTATAAAATGTCATGTAGGTCTCCATAAACTAATTTTATCCTTAATTTACTTTACAATGTCTCTGTTATAGGAATGGTTCGCAGTGTATGTGGAGCTTAATCAGCAAATTGCAGCACTCTTAAATGCTGGGGATGAGGAAGATCTTGTGGAGCTGAAGTCTCTGCAGCAACAACTTAGTGATGTTTGCTATCGACAGGCCAGTCAACTGGAATTTAGGCAAAATCTCTTACAAGCAGCCCTTGAATTTCATGGGGTTGCCCAAGATGTAAGTATCTACTCTTACCGCTTTTCTTCTCTTCAAATGATCTGAATACTTATCTGCACATAATTTTTGCAGGTTTGCATGTCTCCTAATTATTTTCTTGGAACAGTAAAATGTACTGGTGGGGGAAATGAGATAAAATCTTTGATTTTTTTTTTTTTTTAAAGTCAATCTGCATGCTCCTAAATCTTTTTTGTCTACATAGAGTGTCCCAACTAGTAGATATATTTTGTTTTTATTGTTTCTCAATGTTTATGCTTCATAACATAGAATGAAATGGAAGTTTCAGTACTTCTGTACATTCTGCCGACCTGAATATATTTCTTTGTCTTCCTGGTGCATGCATCTATGTGTTCTGTCTTCCAGATAACATGTATTCTAATGATTCGTTCTTGTCTTTTAACAGCATAGTCTTTTTTCAAGTATAATTAGATATAAACCTCATTAACCATTAAACACTTTAGATGCTGATTACATCAGGGTTATCTCTTTGGTGTCCCTCTGCTTTAGTTGTCTCAGCAGTTGGATGGCTTATTAGGGATGTTGTGCGTAGATGTAGCACCAGCTGATGGAGCATCGATTCAGCAAACTTTAAAACTGCTTGAAGAGAAGCTGAAAAGTGTTGGTAAGCAGATTTTAAAAATGCTGAAACATAAGGGTTCTTTTAAAAAAATATTGCCATGTTTACACAAGTCAGCATATACTGAATTAATAATTATTTACAGGAAAAATGGCTATAAAAAAGGCTTTCTCTTGAAAGATGTAATTTATGCTAAAAAATATTTTTTTTTATTGTTAGTCAATCTCTTCCTTCATTAGACCATTAGCCTTTCTTATTTACCCAGCTATATCTACAGGTGCTATGTCTTGCATTCCTAAGAACAGTTATTTGTAGTGCATGCATAAACTGTAATTAGCTGTGAAGTGTTCTGTGGTAAACCCTGTATGCCCCAAACTGTTGTTTTATGCAATGATTTTTGTTGTTGCTATATCCTAACCTGTAAAAACATACTTGGTTTGGTTCTGTGAATTTGTTTCTCCAAACTGGAAATATTGCCAAGATTACATACTCTCTAAGGGGAGTTAATCCAACCTCATTAAGCTAGTTTTCTCACTTGTCATTAAGACTTTTAAAAATCTAGTAGAGTGGTACAGTGACTTTCCCTAGAGGTAGACAGTAGATGCAAAAAATGGAAAGTGGGGATGGGTTGAGGGGGACAGGAGGACAAAGATGATATAGGAGAAGCAGCAGAAACTGAGGACAGAGATTTAATAGAAAATGGTAACACGTGATTGGACCAAATTAATTAATTTTTGAAAATGACTTGAAGGAATGGGTTTGAAAAATCATGTTTGTATTGGCATTTTACTGCCTGAGCCTTTGTTATTTTAGCAAATGATATGCATAATACACATGTAGTAATTAACATGCCAAATGAAATTTATTTGAAAATGTCAGAAAATTTGAGTCACACTTTTTTTTTTTTTTTTTTTTAAATATATTTTATTGATTTTTCACAGAGAGGAAGAGAGAGGGATAGAGAGTTAGAAACATCGATGAGAGAGAATCATTGACCAGCTGCCTCTTGCACACTCCCCACTGGGGATGTGCCCGCAACCAAGGTACATGCCCTTGACCGGAATCGAATCCGGGACCTTTTATTCCCGCAGGCTGACGCTCTATCCACTGACCCAAAGCGGTCCCGGCTTGAGTCACACTTTAAAAAAAAAAAATGAAAGAAAAGAAATTGCTGTATACTTGGAGTATTGAAACATCCTAAGTGTTGCTTCTTGTTGGGTATAAACTAGGTAGTACCTGTACTCAGAACGTTTAGCATTTTTTAACATTGCTTCAGTGATTTGAAGTCTTGCAACTCATACCTTTTTTTAAACATTTGCCATGTTTTTTAAAAAAATAAATAAATAAAAATAAAAATTGGACTATGTAAAAACAGAAAGGAAAAAATTGAAAACTCTTACTCATCAAAACAGTAATTCTCACATTTACTGCTTTCAGTTTTAAAAATTATTATCTATGAAAATTAGCCCTTTGGAATTTGGAAATTCTCTTTAAGGACAATTTGGCATTGGGAGGGTGGGGTAAAATTTCAATCTGATTCACATTTAAAAGGATTTTATTGCTCAAAATGTTCAAAGAACTCCATCCAAGGATAGTTTAATATACAAACTATTTTACTTGGAATTCATGAGCAGTATCTGCTGCAAGGGTTTACTTGAGGGAGGGCAAGCACTTCCTTTGTTTAAGAAATTAAATCTAGCAACTTTTGTTTTAGATGTAGGATTGCAAGGTTTGCGTGAAAAAGGTCAAGGTCTTCTGGATCAGATCTCCAATCAGGCATCCTGGGCATATGGAAAGGATGTAACTATTGAAAATAAAGAAAATGTGGACCACATACAAGGAGTGATGGAAGATATGCAACTTAGGAAACAAAGGCAAAGTTTGACTAATGTTAATTTTTGCTAAGACAACATATTAATTAGAATGAAAAGTGATATAATTTATATGTTTTATTGAAACTCAAGTTTTTACCTGTTTATATAGTAGACATGGAGTAAGTGTTTTTGTGACTGTAATAATTATTGTATATAATTATACCAACACATAATGGCAATTTGTTCAGTTAACAAATGGGTACTTTTTCCTTTTTACTCAGTAGTAAAAATTTAAAAATTTACACTCTCAATAGTTTTTATTCCTATCCCCAGTGTAGCTTCTGACTCTTTTGTCTTTTAAGAAAACCCTTTCTGGAGAATTTTGCTTTTCAATTTTCATTTGGTTTAGTTGGTGTTAAATGTCATCTGAACTGATATGTTCTTCATCTAAATTTCTTACTAACAAATTATCATACATCAATTGTTCTCATATTTGCTGTGAAGGGATTAGACTATAAATTAATGTTTGTTAAAGTAAAATGATAGGTAAGATGAGTAAGGGTAAAGGTAAATGATGTTTAGTTCCATTTGATACATAATTAGGAATATAAAGGCTTCTTTGAAAACTCAATTTGCAATAGCAGCTGCAAATTGTAGTTATCCCCATGCATCCAGGGGCATTAGTTCCAGGACCCCTATAGATAGGAACATTTACAGATGCTCAAGTCCTTTCCTATAAAGTTGGTGCGGTATTTGCATATAACCTAAGCACATCCTCCTGTATACTTTATTTATTTATTTATTTATTGATTGATTGATTTTGTAAAGAGAGGAAGGGAGAGAGATAGAAACATCGATGAGAGAGAGTCATCGATCAGCTGCCTCTTGCACACCCCCTACTGGGGATATGCCTGCAACCAAGGTACATGCCCTTGACTGGAATCGAACCCGGGACCCTTCAGTCCCCAAGCCGACGCTGTATCCATTGATCCAAACCGGTCTCAGCCTCCTGTATACTTTAAAGCATCTCTGTATTACTTATAATACCTAATACAATTAAATGGTAGGTAAGTAGTTGTTATCCTCTATTTTTTAGGGAATAATAACCAGGAAAAAAATCTGTACATGTACAGTACGGATGCAACTGCCGTAGATCTTACTACATAGTATATATTAGCATCAACGTAAGATTTTTTTGTGTTTGAATATTTTCATGTTAAACTCTGCACCTTACACTTCTTTATTTTTTCTGAACCTGTCAAAAAACGACAAATGCTTTTCCATTTACAGAGCACTTCATGAAAACCAATGATCGATGGCATTAAAATAGGTTCTTCATCCCTAATAAATCACCATAATTTTCACTACATAGTCACATAAGCAACTACATAACTTTTTTTGAATATTTTCAATCCATGGTTGGTGAATACATGGATGCAGAACTCCCAGATGATGGAGGGCCAATGTATTTCGAACTATACAAAGATTAATCCATCTAGAAACTTTTGTACACTTAGAAATTTTAAAATCAAGAAAACCTACAGAAACTCTCACCTTACATCTTAGAGAAAACATTCACCAGGCAGAAATTCCCTCTCCCCTCATATCTGCACATTTATCCGTTTCACTATTCATTCTTCTCCCAAAGGATGACAGCTCTGCTCTTACCAAAGCCGATCTTTCCATGTACCCTCATGTCTCCTCATTCCATCAACTCCCATTCTCTACTCTGATCCCTGTCCCTCATTTACTTGCTTAAATTTCTCCTATTTAAAAAAATATAAATAATTACACACCCTTCTCTTCAACTTTCTTTGTCTTCTAGCTCTAGAGCACTCCTTTCTGAAAGTGGTCATTTGAAGGTCTAATTTACACTCATTTAATTTCTCACTTTCTCCAATTTACTTTGCAACCCTCCACAGTTAGACTTCTCTCACCATTTCACTAAATCTGCTCTTACTGATGTCTCCAGTGACTTCTTAATTACCATCTATAATAAAACTGTAACATACAGTTAGGCCGGACGACCTTCCGGACAAAGCCGGTGCTGCAGCAGCAGGATTGAAGCAGCCGCTGCGGCTGCAAAGGCCTATTCTTGCGCACATTCCGTGCATAGGGCCTCTAGTATGTATTAAATGATTGATCTTGCTCAAAATGCAGGAATACTTCTAGTCCTGACCTTGCTTACCCACTCTGAATAGCCTTAGGCACAGCTAGATTTTTCTTTCTTCTTGAAACTCCCGGACGACCTTGTCTTCTTTGAAAACAGCCTCATGGTACTCCTCCTGGCACTCTGTTTCTTCTCAGTTTTCATTGTTTCTTTGTCCTCCTGGTAATGTCACTGCTTCCAGGGTTTGTTCTGAGGCCAGATTTTCCTCTCAGTCTGTGTTCTCCCTGGACAGTTTCACTGTTTGAATGACCTTTAATATCTTGATCGAGTGGTTATGGCTCTGACGCAAACCACTCTCCTGTGCTTTAGACCCATACTTGCACTTGCCTGCTGAGGACCTCCACCTGGATGTCCCATACACTCTTCAAATCTTCAAACCAGCGTGTCCAGATTGGAATCATTCTCCCCTCCCAAATTGATCCTCTCCTTTAATTTCCTGTCTGGGTTAAAGTTACCAGTGGCTACTTCAGGTGTATTCTAAAATCCTTACTCTTTCTCATCCCTACAGCCTCATCAAATGTCAATGTTTTGCTGTTTTGGTATCCTAAACATTTCTTTGTTCAAGATTTACCTGTTCTCTACCTGTAGTTGTACACAGAGTAATGTTTGTTAAGTGCACTTCTAATTACACAATTTCCTTATATAAAATCTCTAAGTGACTTCCTGTTTTCTCAGATGAAATGCTATCTCCTTGGAATAGTGTAGGAGGTCATAATCCAGTCCTGCATCGTCTCATCTCCTGTAACTTTCCCCAAAATCACATGGTTGTTTTCATTTCCTGAATACCTCATGCTGTTTCATGCATCTGTGACTCATTTTCTGCCTACTGGGTTTCCTCCTTCTGGTAAGGTGCTTATCCTTGCAATCCTTTTAGATTTCTTGGACAAGTTAATCACTTGTTCCTTCATACTCCCATAAATCCTTTACATGGTTCTACACTAATATTTATCACCTTATGTAAACATCCAACTCCTCAGATGGGACCATCTTAATACAAGAGACCAAGTCTTAATTTTTTCAAGCACATTACTCAATTCCTGACAATGTGTTAATACTTGTATGACATCATCTTCATCATTAAAGTGTCTTACATTGTATTGTAGCTTCAGATTTTAAAAATAATTCGCATCACTTTCCTTCAGCCCTTTGTAGAATTTTACTTTAACAGCTTGCTGTGTGATTTGAAGGCATCTTTATAAAAATTGCCTTTTGACAATGATGTCTGCATTGTTATTAAGCCTTCTTTAAGAACATCAACTGTAGTGTAGCCCAGGGCCTCCTGGTTAACTAGTTATTGGTATTTGGGATTTCAATGAGATTTTTCCTTCCCACTTAAAAGACATAGGATGAGAATGAAGGGAATGGGTCAGACCTGAGTTAGGTCAAGTCACCTTAAAAGTTTAGGCTGTATATTATCCAGACCTTAGTAAATTTAAAAATAATCTGTGTTGTGTTTCTCTATAACTAGAGAGCTATAGAGGTTTTTCTTCTTCTTAAGAATATAGGTAGAGTTTTTGTGTTTCTTTTATTCAAAATTAGGCATTACTCTGAGTAATGTAACACAATAAAAAGTGTTATTTTTTTGTTTCCTTGAATATCATCTTCTAAATTAATATTTGTGAAACTGCATTTTATATTTGAAGCTAGTTTAATGCTAATTGGCAATGGAGATTTCTTTGGGTGTTAGTGTGCTTCTGCATTTATGATTTGCTTCAGTACTCTGCAGAATCCATGCTATTCTTGAGGGTTTGTGATTCAGTATCATTCAGGTATTTTGAGGTTGTGATATGATATACATATAGTTATCTTTAAAATTTAAAATTCTTATAAATCAATACAAAATAGTTACAGTCTCCATAGTGTTGGATTAGGTATTTTACTATACTATAATACGTGTGTGATATAATAGTTACCAACAAAACCAAAATGTTCTAAACTTATGTTTGGGTTTATTAGATGTGAAGACATGGTAGATGTGCGAAGGTTAAAGATGCTTCAAATGGTGCAGTTGTTTAAATGTGAAGAAGATGCTGCCCAGGTGAGGATCAATTGGCACATTTAGTTATTGTTTTTTCTTAGAAGATTAAAACCGTCCAACACACACAACTTTTTTATGGTCCTAAGAAGGTAACATGAAGTCAGATTCTAGTTAAAACTGTTGAAATAATAAAGTTTTGTATTCCCAGTTATCTCACTTGATCTCATTTGATTTACCTTCTTAATGAAATCCTTTGTTGAGCTAGAAATTGGGACTAGGTATTATTTATTATTGTTCATCTATTACCAGTTATATCCCAGGATAAAGGCTAGATAACACACTGCTTTTTAACCACAAGAAGGTTTTTTTACCTAGATAAACAATTTGCTATCTTTTTGTATTTAGCACCAGAGTACATCATTTCAGGCTTAGAGGACATTTGTGATTTTAAATGGTAACATAAAATCATAATATAATGATATTTCAACAAGATCTCTATGTATGTAATCTTCTATTACAAATCATGTGATAATAATTTTAAAAGAGTGCTTCTCTTTAATAGGTATTGTCTTCAGATTTTTAAAAATATTGAGTAGGAGGCAAGGTCATTAATGAACTAAGCTATTAGGAACTTAGATTATAACTAATAGATTAATCAATCACATGATAAAACTTTTCTTATGGATATTATATTTTGATATAATAAGTAAAGACTTATGAATGCAGCTTCACTGTTCTTTCTTTTCATTTAGGCAGTAGAATGGCTAAGTGAACTTCTGGATGCTCTGCTTAAGACCCACATCAGATTGGGCGATGATGCCCAAGAAACGAAAGTTTTACTGGAAAAGCATAGAAAATTTGTTGATGTCGCACAGGTGCAGAACTGGTTATCTTCCTTTTCTACAAGCTCAGTGTTTGAATAGCTTTCTGCATGATTATAATGTAACTTAGCCTTCCAAGTCCCAGAAGGTTAGTTATGTTATTCCAGAAATATCACAGAACTAAGAAAAGGTCAGCTGGTGCATCCAAACTAGCCTGCACAAACTTGTGAGGGTTTACATTTCCCTGAATACAGATTCTGTATGCCTTCTGTGACTTATTGTTATATATTATAACCTTTTTTAGGCAATCCAACTTCATTCATGAAAGTTAATACAAAATACATGTTAATGCTGTATCTCACCAGCATTAACATTACAAACACAGGTTTTTTTGTTGCTATTGACAAATGTGTTTTAATTAATTTCCTTAATAATTGAGTTTACCGTGTAACAGTTGTGGTTTCCTCTATGGAATACAAAGTGCCTGTTTTTACCCACTTGTTTCTATTAAAGACTGAACAGACATTCTTTTTGGCCTGTGGAAATGAGCCGGTGAGATTGGGGAAACAGAATAAGAAAGAAACTTACTGAAAATGAACTGAAAGTATTGCTTCCCCTGCATTATTTAATGCATACTGTTAATTTGTATCAAGTGCCAGTGGAGTTGTTCAGTATTGATTTCCAGGAGTGTCACTCAATGGCAACCACAGTCCTCTTGCATGCTTTCCTATCCCTCTTTTAAAAATTTTTTATTTTAATTCCATGTTTTCTTTCTTTTTTTTTTTTTTAGAGCACTTATGACTATGGAAGACAGTTGCTGCAGGCCACCGTTGTGTTGTGCCAGTCTTTGCGCTGCACTTCTCGGTCATCTGGGGATACACTTCCTCGGCTGAACAGAGTGTGGAAACAATTTACGATAGCATCTGAGGAGAGAGTACATAGGCTGGAAATGGCTATTGCATTTCACTCAAATACTGAAAAGGTTTGCTTTTTTAAAAATGTGGTCACAATAGTATTTATGGTGTATGTTTAGAATGTGTTAATCTTAATATGTGCTTAGTCTGATTTTAAAAATTTGGTGTTAGTCCTATTATTTAAAGTTTGTTTAGATATATTATCTCACAGAGTTGAAATCAGATTCTCTTGGTAATTGGTACCAGTTGGGGAGTAGTGTGGTTGGAGGAATTCAAAACCATTCAGTGGTCTTCTGTCTACAGTGGGCAGTGGATACACATTTCTCAGTGGTCTTCTGTCTACATTATGGGCAGTAGATACACTTTCCTCAGTGTACCTACTGCCCATAATGTGCTGTCCATTCTTTAGGAGGTCATGACTCCCATCTCATTCATATGCCAAGAAAAGAAACTTTGCTTTGGGTACCTGCTATAAATTATCATAAATTATTTAAAAGGGTACTTTTTAATTTTTTAATGTTTAGAATCTGTCCCAACTAAAATGAGAATAAGGATAAAAATAAAACTTTTATAGAAAAAAACATTTTTATTGATTTCAGAGAGGAAGAGAAAAGGGAGAGAAAGAAATATCAGTGATGAGAGAGAATCATTGATCAGCTGTCTCCTGCACACCCCTCCACTGGGGACCAAACCTGCAACCCAAGAATATGCCCTGACTGATAATGGAACTGTGACCTCCTGATTCATAGATTAAAGTTCAACCACTTAGCCACACTGGCCAGGAAGAACATATTTTTATGTGTTACCTTTTAAAAAGTAATTTTAGGATTTATTGTTTACTAAATTATTTAGCCTCTGAAACCATAAATGAATATGCAATGTTTTGGGCAGGTTTTCATAGAACTTTTTTCTTAGCTCAGTACAGTGAAAATGTGTGTCACCTGAGCTTTGCATTTTCATTCTGAAGAGGAGCTTTATTATGTAGTTAGCTTAATTATGTAGTTTTCTCTTAAAATGAAAGTTTATATATAGAGGATGCTTAGTACAATTTAAAATAGGAGAAATCAAAATTTTAAATGTGATAGCCTTGTCTGTTGAACAAAAGAAATGTTTCCAGGAACCTCTAGAACTATGCAGTTTTTTTCTGTGATATGAAGTATATTTGTTGGGAGATGTTTTTAGTAAACTCTTTCTGACCTAATCACTGAGCTCCGCACACAGGGCAGTGTTTCAGGGGCCTAATGGTAATGAATGAAAATATGCAGAGTGGCTTAACTTGCTTATCTACTGATGATTTTAAAGAAATCTTTTTAGTTGAGTATAATATATATATATATATATATATATATAAAGAGCCAGAAAAGCCAGGGTCCTTAAAATCCGAAACAATTGAAGGCTCGACTGAACACCAGAGAAGTCAATCCTGCAGTTACCTCAGCAACCCAGCACTGACTGCTGAGGGGGGGCTGCAATCAGGTCCGGAGAGAAAAGCAGGGTCTGATCGCAGCCCCGTGGCAGTCAGTGCTGGGTCAGTGTGGCGGAAGTCAGTGCTACAGTCAGTGAACATAGGGTCAATTAATATTAAGTGAACATAGGGTCAATTAATATCTCTTTGAGAGGAGTTGAGAATATAAAGTACAGTGTAGAGCAATTACTTATATTATTTCACATAAAACTCTTTTCAACTAAGATATTTTCCTTTATTTAAATTGTATCTTTATTGTTGAAAGTATAGTTTTAGCTTAATGTTTTTCCCCCCATTGATGATCTCCTGCACCCGCCCCTTCCAGGCCTTAGCCAGACAATTATTTTTAGGGGGTTTTTTTTGTTTGTTTGTTCTAGTTTTTTGTTTGTTGTTGTTGTTGAAAGTATAGTTTTGTTTAGTTTTCCCCCCCTGTTGTTCCAGGTTTTTTTTATTGTTGATGGTCTCCTGCACCTGCCCCTTCTAGACCTTAGCCAGACTGTCTGTGTCCATGAGCTATTCCTATCTAATACATACAAATCTAGAAAGATTTAGAGAAAAGAAAATAAAAGATATGCCAGATAAATATTGAATAGAAGAGCCCAAGTTGCTTCATGAATACTGGATACAGGCTTGAAGCCAAAACACAACTCATGAGTCATTATAACTTAACAAAAGTTTCCTTTCACTACAGAGATAAGATGATTCCCAATACTTATACACATAATAGAACAGTTGTGGGGGTTCAGAATGAGTCTCACCAAGATATGTCTCAGTGGTCTGCAGATTTTTGAACTAAGGGCAATTTTAGCTTCAGGCTCAACTGAAAATTCTGCCCCTCCCTTTAATTACCTAAAATAAATGGAATTAGAGGCCCTGCCCATAATAAGACATTATCCTATATAATAAAAGGCTTATATGCTAATTGACTGAACAGCAGAAGGACTGGTCGCTATGACACACACTGACCACCAGGGGGACAGATGCTCAGTGCTGTCTCCCTAGTGGTCAGTATGCTCCCACAGGGGAGCACTGGTTAGCCAGAAGCCAAGCTTATGGCTGGCTAACGCAGCAGCAGTGGTGAAGCCTCTCCCGCCCCTGCAGCAGCGCTAAGGATGTCTTACTGATGACTTAGGCCCCCTCCCTATTGGACTGAGGGGCCCCCCACCTCCAAGTACACAAATTTCATGTACCAGGCCTCTAGTATTAACATAATATATAGAACATAAATTGTTAATTTTAACAAGGTGAACACATCTGTCCAATCAGTGTACTGTTCAAACAGCAAAATTCTACCAGCACCTCAGAGGCTCCCCACTCCCTTTTAGCCATGCTGCTTTTGCTGCCCTTCCCCCTCTCCAAGGTGACCACTGGCTTGTTCTAACACTACTGAAAACTTTAGGATACTATTTTTAAAGGTATCAGGCAAAGACATTTTAAAATCTAGACCCTTTAAGAAATCATATAAGAATACACACACACACACACACACACACACACACACACACACTAGAGGCCCAGTGCACAAAATTAGTGCACTTGGGCGGAGTGGGGTGGGTTTGTCCCTCAGCCTAGCCTGCATCCTCTCCAATCTGGGACCCCTTGGGGGATGTCCAACTGCCAGTTTAGGCCCGATCACACAGGGCCTAAACCAACTGCCCTCCCCTGCAGGCCTGGTCGCCCTCAACTGCCCTCCCCTGCTAGCAATCTTGTGACAATGTGGGGGTAGCCATCTTGTGATGTGAGGGCGTGAGGGTCAGTTTGCAAATTACCTCTATTATATAGGATGAATGGATTGGATTATTTATTTATTCACATTAAATAACCAACTTTATTTTTCATTGACTATAATAGAAAATTAACATTTCTACTTTTTCTACTTTATGGCCTTTATCATACTTATAATAAACTTGACTTAAGGTTATTTTGCTATGCAAACCTATGATGAAATCTTCTGTTATATTTTATTTCCCTTTTGACTGTGTTCTGTTTTATACCAGTAAGCGTAAATATAGTAACTATAAGCAAGTTGTATAGTATGATTGGGAAAACATTTAAATTAAATCTAGAATTTTAGAATATAAATATGTTCTTATGAGCTATAATGAAATAAACATGATTGGATCAAGTGAAGTCTGTTGGAAAAATAAATACCTTTTTCCTTCCTCAAATTTTGCGTATTTTTGTTTTTTGATTGGTTTTTTTTTTTTTTTTGAGTTAAATTTAAATGGTAATAGTTAAGAGGAAACAAGTAATATCTTTACAAAGGCTGTAGAACTTCCCTATATTTGAAGTAAAACCATAGCAGTTTACATCAGTTAAGTCAGCAGATCAGTTTTTAAAATAACTATAAATTGTGTAATTAGGCCATCAAATCAGTTATGTGCTTGTACTTGGAGTATATGTTGTTTTGCACTTATATCTCTTTTTTTGCACTTACTTTCCAAATAGTTTTCTAGTATTTTCCCCCCCAAGAATCACTATAGCCTTTTTTCATATTCCAGTTATGTTAGTAGGGATTATGTATCTTATTTTGTTTGCATTTCTTCAGTCAGTTTTGTAAAAAATAGATCAATTTTTTACAGTTGTGTACATAAAGATGCTAAAATAAAACAAAATATAAACATCTCCAATCTCCTAAATTTGTTTGAGATTTATTTTTCTGTCTCTTGATGTTGCCCTTTTATTTGTTGCAGATTTTGCAAGACTGTCCGGAAGAGCCTGAAGCTATTAATGATGAGGAGCAATTTGATGAAATTGAAGCAGTTGGGAAATCACTTTTGGATAGATTAACTGTTCCTGTAGTTTATCCTGATGGGTATGGTGCATGTTCTTATAATTTTACTAGAGGTCTGGAGCACAAAATTTATACACCAGGGGTGGGGAGGCCCTCAGCTGAGATTGTAAGGGGGCACAGGCCAGGCTGAGGGACCCCACAGGTGCACCATCAGGGCTAGGGAGGGACGCGGGAGGTTGGCCAGTTGAGGAGGGACTGTAGGAGGGCTCCAGGGCATGTCCAGCCCATCTTGCTCAGACCTGATCGGTGGGACCCCAGCAGCAAGCTAACCTACAGGTTGGAGGGTCTGACCCCTGGTGGTCAGTGCACATCATAGTGAGCGGTTGAGCAACCTTAGCATATCATTAGCATATTATACTTTGATTGGTTGAACAGACGACCAGACACTTAGCATATTAGGCTTAGGATCTTTTAATCTGTGAGGCTTTTTATCAGTGAATTCATTAAGAGGAAACCTGTTTGATTTAAAAGCCAGGTCAATTAGCTTTGGTCCACATTTTCAATTCCTACAATAAACTGGTTTAAAATGAAAAGAAATCCAAACTCGGCTCTTAGCAGCAGTCGCATTTGATACTTGCTGCCATCAAATGTATTGCTTCTTCACAGCTTGTTGTAGAAGAAGGTCATTGACTAGGTTGACATCCTGGATTCTAGCCTTGACTATGATGATAGGGACTAGGGTGACCTTGGGCATCCTTCAGTGAAAGGGTAGGGACTAATATTTAGTGAGCTCAGTATATGCCCGGCACGAAGTTAAAACCTTCACCTTCATTACTTTAGACCAAACAGTGCCAGACTAGTGTGGTTATTTCTGATTTACAGATAGAGAAACTGAGGCTTGAAAAGTGGAATAAGGTGCTCAGCATTTCATAGCTTCTAAGTGGAATTAGGATACAAAGTCAGATCTTCTGACTCCAGACCCATTCTCTTTTCACTGTGTTGTGTGCAGTACCTGATTCCATGTTTCTTTTCATTTCAAGCAATCTGTGCATAAAGATATGAAATAACCTCATGCAAATAAATAGTCCAGTAAATGAATCAGAAAGAGTTTTATCCCTGCGTATTTAGACATTCTCAGTGAAGATGATTTAGAGGCAATCAAGAGGATATTTAATTCAAACAATAAAGAAACCAGATGATTGAATACATCTATCCTTACATTATAGTATAGTCTAATGTTTAGAATTGTGGTTTCTAACCAGTTGTCTTGGATTTAAATCTCAGCACCACCATTTAGCTGCTGTGATACTTTTGAGCTAGCCATTTAACCTTTCCTGTGCCTCAGTTTTCTCATCTAAAAATAGGATTCATACCTCCTCAAATTATAGATGCAGGGGAATCATATGAGGTAAATGTATATAAACTACTTAAAACAAACCTGACACATACTGCAACTTCTGCTGTGTCATGCATTTCAAATGCTTGTTTGCAATTGATATTAAAAATATATTTTATTCTCTTGAACAAATATTATTCATAGTCTAATATATAGATAATTACTAGTTGTAACTAAAGTCATGTGATACATCTGCAATGTATGCAAGAGAGTAAATCTTAAAATTGTAAGTTGAGCTAGTAACAGTATTAGTGTGCTGCTTAGTTGTTTCAGTCCAGGACACCCAGCCCTCCCCAACACCTATGGCTGCATTTCACAGCCAGTTGTCTGCCAGTCTCCCTTCTTCTCAGGTCAGCCTGGGAATATCTTTCCCTGGTGTTTTTGCTTGAGCTCCTCCTCCTGTTCTACAAATAGTTTGTGTGTCATTTTCTCATCCTTTTAAGATAAATAAGTTGATACGTATTATTCAAATTTGACAACCATGCCTTTATATTTGGAATTCTTATTCTATTTTATATGATAATTTGTGTCGTATAAAATCTGTTTGATGGTACAATTATTCAGATTTTTCTTTTGTAACATTCTCTTGGGAAAATATTTTTAAAATTTTTTTTCTGGAGTCATTGCTTAAAGACCCAGGTTCAGATCTTAGTTTTTCCACTGTGTGATCATAGAACTCTTTTACCTCTAAAAGATTCTGGGACTCTGAGAACAGAATCTTTGCAGGTAGGATAAAATTAAATGATTTTTCTATTAATGTCCCAAATGATGCCTTAACATTAAATAGATATTTCATTTGCCAGCTATATTAGACAATGAGTGTAAATAGTCCTTAGCACTGAAGTATACAAACTTTGTATTTGTGTGTACTATGGAACCCAAATTGAAAAATAAAAATATCAATGTTTCATTGATATTTGCATAGCTTGGTTGTATTATTGAGATTATCCTAAGTGCACTTAATACGACATTTATACCACTAATATATTTGTCTTGACATTTTAAAATATATTTTATGCCATCTAAAAAATGTTTCTCCTACTGAATTGCTACTCAAAGATAAACAATAAGATCTACAAATGAACTAAGGCCTTAGCACAGAGGTAATTTTTACGCTAATTTTTTGCTTCCTTTTGTATTTGCTGTGGACAGTGAATCTGTATTAATGTGAATGGGGTTTTTCTCTTTGTTTTGATTTTTAGAACTGAACAATATTTTGGGAGTCCAAGTGACATGGCTTCTACTGCAGAACACATCAGAGACAGGATGAAACTAGTTAGTCTCAAAAGACAGCAGCTGAGACATCCTGAAATGATGACTACAGAGAGCTAATGGCAGCCAGCTTCCCACAGATCTGCGTTCACAATAATCCTGCATGTCATCGGCATACTTCAGCATATTAGCCACAATACATTAAGATACATTTCACAGCCAAGATAAGCCTCATTTCTTTTCATTACACATTTCTCTCTACATGTTAACACCTTGCAACTACCAAGGCATAATTATTTAACATGCTTTGAGATCATAGACTGCAAGTATCTTAAAAGAAGGAACTGTAAACATTGCACTGAAAACCTGCTTTAAAGCTTTACCTGACCTGTCAGTTTGTAGACGAACAACTGATACTAAGCTTTGAGTGGTGCTAATAAGAGTTTAGGAATCCTCTATATAAAAACAATTGCCCTTCCTCCCCAGGTGATGTAGTAAATTTAGACTATAGTAAAATGGTTATTAGTAAACAGTGGTGTCCTCAAAATTTTACTTTTTGATTTTTCTTCAAAATTGATTATTTTTATTGTGTCAGTAAGAAGAAAACATTCAAATCTTTGATATATCATAGTCATTACAAGACATTTTCCTATTTGTATTGATAATGTATTAAAAGTTGTTTGTGCTTAATAAAAGGCTTCTTTTAAACATTGTATTTAATTTGGTGGTTATATCCTATTTCCAAACATGAGTGCCTTATTAAAAAGGGCATTCTTAGGATTGTGAGGATGGTTTAATACTTGTTTTTCAAGTTGGTTGCATGTGTTTTAGCCAGGAGATTCATATGTAAGCATGTATATATAATAAATAAGCATGTTTTATCATGAAAAAATAAATGTGAAGAACAATTTAAATCTTTAAGAACTTACAAATAATGGAATACTGTTTCTAATTTTTCTCTATTTCAACTTGAAAAAAATGTTATTCAAACTATTAACTCCCCTGCAAATACTTTGTTTTTGGAGGAGGAGGCTGGGGAAGAAGGCATACACAATTACTTAAGTGTCATCTTTTAAATCAGAGTTATCTCTGGAACTAAAGTAGCATTTGTTAAGTATAATTTCTTATGCTAGGCTAGAAGCAAAATTCTAAAGTAGTCTAATAAAAAACTATTAGACTACTTGCAGCTCTTTTAGAAATAAGATTTATAAAATGCTAGTGCTTTTATGTTTATATGGTAAATGTATATAATTTAATTTTTGTTTAAGAAAATGTTTTTTGAAAAATATTAAAAATAATTTTTTAGTGCATAATGTAAAATTATGCAAACAATTGTATGCCAGTTCCTTTTTGTCTTCAAAATGCTCATGTATCCTCCAGTGTAAAAAGTTCTCTCTGAACCTGCTGGTTTCCCTTGCCTTTTTCACACTGCCAGACTTCTTGGAGGGATCCTATCCATTACCCCTACTTCCTCATTACTCAGTGCTCAGCACCTCACAGCACTGCACTGAAACTGTTCTCAGTGGGCCCCAATTAGTGAATTAAATTAGTGCATTCTTATCCTCCTCTGTCTGCAACCTTTACACCACTGAGCTTCCTTTCCTGGACAGTGCCCCCACACACAAACCTTGAAGATAGTACCCTCTGCCATAACTGTGAATACAGCCACATCACTCCTATTTAAAATGTTATGTACAAATGTGCTCACTCAGGTTCTATCTTCAGAATGCTTCATAATCTCATCCCTAGGGTTTCTATTTTATCTCAGTGTCCTATTATACATCTGCCCAAAATTCTGCATCTTTCAACTACCTACTTGACATTTCACCCTACATCAAGTTATTTATAATAATTTTTACCTTTCTCTTGGAGCAATTTTGGTTAAAGGTGCCACATTTTTTTCTAGTCGTACATGCCAGAAAATCTGTGGGCAACATTCGAATGCCCCTCTTGTCTTGTGCTATCACTGCTTCTGAGAATATCCAGGAGGTTCTTACTATATTTGATGATCCTCTCAGGCTTTTAGGGCTTGACTTCTATGAGCATAAACTTTGATGATTCTTCACTGTAGTCTTCATGATGGTGCTAACCACAGGCTCCAATTGTTACATCTACCTGCGACATTATAAGCTCTTTTGAGAGGGAATCTTGCTCATGCATAATAGTTGCTCAATTTCCCTGTAAGTGTTTTTTTTTAGGCATTGGTAATAATCCTTCATGTTGTAGTTTGAGGTGTGTTTCAAACATATTTTCTAACATTAGGACTGAGCTGTGAGTGGATTTATTCATAAGAAAGTCATTTGGTATTTTAGATACTTCAATATTAACTAATTTAGATATTCGGTTACACCCAATATCTATTCTGAATTTTGGAGTAGTTTGAATGTTTTTATTAAAACTGCTAGATATGGACTGGATTGTAAATAATGAGACTCCCAGTTCTCTCAACTCACCTGCTTATCAATGAGTTAATTTTTATATGTCTTAAGCTATCCTGATTACAGCAAAAGTAAAGGAATGCAGCATATAGAAATGTTATTTGTAATTTGAATATTTCAGATGAAGCTGAATATGCTTATAAAATAATAAATATTGTTGCTCTTTATTTGTAAATTTGCTGCTACTTTCTATATATCAATCTGTGTATATATATACACATACCGTTATGAGTGAAAACCCAACAATGCCCTAATGTGATTTTTTTCATAGTTCATTTAGGGTACATGTGAAGGAAGTAACTGCAGTCTTTGAAATCACAAACTTTTTGTACGTAATAAGCATTGGCTGGCAAATGGCAAAAGAACCATCGTTTCTAATTGGTGTATGCCACAACTTCTCATTACTTTAGCCCATCTCAGGGACTTATTGAAGTGTTAATTGGGCTAGTTTTGGTTTGGTTTGGTTTGGTTTGAGTGGGGAATTTACTTTTCCTTCTTACCATGTATTTATTTGCTCCTGGGTAAATTCAGTATTGGTAGTTTGGGCACTTATTTATACATGTCTAACCTAGCAGTGCTATAATGCAAAGATGATTAATTTCATCTCAGATAAAATTGGTTTTGTTCCCGGTCCTCATCGCTGATGACCTTATTCTGCTAGGGTGACATTGGTGACAAATGAAACTGTTCAGCCTGCCAGCTAGAATATTGATTTTAGGTCTAGGATTCATTGCTATGGAGAAGAATGGATACTTCTCTCACTTTATAGGCATTTAAATTGGCCAATGTTGCCAAATATTACCTAGGATTAATGTGTTTGTTGTTTGTTTCATCACTTGATCAGTTGACATATGGTGTGCTATTTAGTTTATTATTTAGTTTGTGGCATACTGCTTATAACGAACGTGACAATTTTCTGGTAGTGCTGAGCAAACCATACTTTCTGATGTAAACTTATTGTAACTAATGGCATGATTATGAGATTAGCCGAACCAATCTCACTATACAGTCTACTTTTGGAGAAAATTCAGAGTTCTTGACTACATTTTAGAAAGTTCCTTGCCAGAGAGATTTGATAGATATTACTATGTACTGTGGTTGTTAAACTCCTCCATACCTTGAACCTATTAAAAATGGTACAGCCCTAGCCAGTTTTCTCAGTGGGTAGTGCCGGCCATCAGACAACAGGGTCTTGGGTCCAATTCCCAGTCAAGGGCATATACAGTTGCAGACTCAACCCCTGGCCCTGGAGGCAACTAATCGATGTGTCTCTCTCACATCACTGTTTTACTCTCCCCCTCATCCCTCCATTTCACCCTCTCTAGACATTAGTGGAAAAATATCCTCAGATGAGGATTAAGAACAAAAAACAGAACAGGAAATGAACATCAGTATATATCATCAGTGACAATATTAACATGATTGGGATATCTCTACTCCCCAAAGGGAAATTTCTCTACGATTAAAAAGGTGGGCTAAACACAGTTAACCTAATTAGCAAGCTCACCAGTGTTAACTTTCAGTTCTAAAAATAAAAAGCTTCAGCTGGGAATGGAGGTACTCTTCTGTAGGTTTAACAAATACCTTGATAAGTACAAATTTAACAAGACATTTGACTTCAGTAGGTGCTACTGGCAAGTAGTTTTTGCTAAGTATAAATGATGGCAAGATCATAAACGCTAAGTAATAATTAGAGTGAATATAATGCAGAGAGTTGAGTTTGACTACTTGACTTAAAAATCTAGCTTTGCCATTTACCGACTTGGTAAAAACCATTAAATTTCTTCTTTGGATCTGTAAATTACAGTCATCATATCAAATAATAAGAGTGAAATACAATCATGTTTTAAAAAGTATTCTGAAACTAAAATGTTATCCAAAATGGAAATTATTAATAGTATAATTATCTTTTCAGGATAGAAAGTAGGGCATTCTTTAATTCTGCTCTTGCCTCAAATGACAAGCATAGGGTCATGTGGAAATAGCACATTGTTTATGCTCACTTCCCAAGCTATTTCCCTGACATTCAGAATTGCTTACTGAAAATACTAAGGGTGGATGAGCTCATCGTTAAATAACGAGACTTTTAAATCTGACAGATTAACTCTTTTTATGGCAGGTGGTAGAGCAGCAGATGCAAGACAGGTGAAGAGTATCACCGGCTTTGCAGTTGACAGAACATGTCACCATTCCATTAATAAGTAAAAGAAAATCGTACTTGGAGTGGGTCCTACTGAGCCAGCAGCAATCTTTAGAAACAACCAGAGCACAGACCTGGAAATATATTTATATTTATTATGTATCCCAAAAATGAGGTAAAAGACATGACGAGACCACCCTTAGTTCTGTTACGGTTAGAGAAGGGAAAGCTTGAAAAACTTTAGCAGTGGTAACAATAGAAAAAGGCTGTGACAGATGGATAGAACGAAGGGGGTCCTCCGTGAGAGAGCACAGTAGGGAATGTTTAAGAATGAAGAAAGTTCACATAACTAATATTGCATAGTTAAGATTAGTTTTGTTAGTGGACACTTACGGAGCAGTACATTTAATACCTGTATATGATGATACAGGAATTCTTAGCAGATAACTAAAAGTAGTTACCAACTTCGAAGTAAGAGTAGTGCTGTTAATGGATTTTTAGTCAAGCCTGTGAAAAACTATTTCTGAAAAAAGGCTATTGAA